GACACTATTACAGTTTACAATGCAAAATATCGAAATAACACACACTCACACTAATACTAACACACACACACAACCACCTAATGGTGGCCGACGGTGGCGCATGGCAGCAGAAAAGCTACAACCGACGGCAACCACCATGGTTCGCTACCATGGTGGTGCACTTGCTCTCCGGCGACACAAACATCCCAAACACACTTATAAAAAATGGAAACACAGCCACACACACCTAAACACACACTTGAAGCACAATCACACACCCACATAACTCACAGCCACTAGAGAGCACATGGCGGCGACGGGCAGAAGTAGAACTAGCAGCGCTTTCATCTTCAACTGATGGTGCGTGACGGTGGTAACGAACACACCCGGAAACTGTCATCAACTTGCACTCGCCAGAAGCTAGGGGTTATGACGCGTTGGCGGATCGGAAACGGTGGTTGACGACCTCAACAGAGGTGGTGGTGCAGCGCTGGAGGACGAAGAAGCGAGAGCGGCGACTGGAGGAGGGGGCATAAGGAGATGATGGCTGCAAGGGTTTTGCTAGGGTTAGGGTTACATAACCTTATATACTCGATCTTAGTATAAAAATTTGCCATAATGACCAAAAGGGTCCCTCCAGCTCCAATTAAATTCGAAATAGATCCCAAATTTACCTTTTTAACCCTTGTCATCTAAATTTCCTTCAACTTAAGTCCATAATTTACCAAATATACCCCGGTTCATGAATTCCTTTTAAATTCAGCCCACAAATTACTAAACAACCCTCAATATTAAAACCCATTATAATTTAGATACAATAATTACCAAACGGTCCCTTAGCCTCCAAAATCTCTTCACATGATGTCCCAAAAGTTACCATATAGCCCCTGCCTTCATAATTATTTACAAAACTAATCCGGAACTGACACCTTTAACCCCCGACTTCTAAAGTCGTAACTTTTGGCTCCCGAAAACCAACACCTTGCTACATAATTATTGGTCTTAGGGCTATTATACAATCATTTATTTATTTATTTATTTAATAAATAAATAAACAGGGTGTTACAAACAGAGTGAGGGTCATGCATTATCTATCAAAGGAGGAAGCTTGACTTGAAAGTCATCAAATCAGTTTGGTTGCGATCTAACTTTTTTTATCTCTTTGTTCATGTGGGGTTTCATTATCGTTTTCGCTGCCCACTTCCATTTCTTACTCAGTTTCGATAGAACAATCTATCTCTTTGATTTCTTCATGGGATTTTTTATTAAAATGAGGTACACTGTCAACCTCCTTCTCGGTAACAACTACATCAGGTTGACCGCGAAAAACCTCAAAGACATCATCATATTACAATGGTCCATTGAAAGTGAAGGTTTTCTCAATTTTTTTCTTGTTGATTCTCTATTTTATCAAATGGGTAATGTTGTTCAACAAATCTAATATCCCTTGACAGAATCACCATTTTTCTTTAAAGATGATATATCTAATAACCTTTTTGTGCTTATGGGTATCCAACTAAGACACACGGTCTCCCCTTTACTTCAAACTTATTTCCTTTTGTTTCGGTGTTCCTGGAATAGGCTAAACATCCAAAAAAGACCTTCATATATTCATTGTTTGGTTTTGTTGGAAGAGAATTCCAAAGGGTATTTGTATCCAATGACCTTAGAAGGTAGTCTACTGATGATATACGTTGTTAAAATACATTCTCCCTATAACTAAACTGATTGGTAGCATAGTTTCAAACGTTAAGGCTCTAGCAACCTCAAGAAAATGTGGGTGCTTTCTTTCCACAACACCGTTTTGTTGAGGTGTATGAGCATAACTGGTTTCCAAGATAATTTCTTCTTATGTATAAAACTCATTCATGGAATTAGAAGTGAAATCTCCCTTTTTGTCACTTCTAACTCTTTTTATTCCTTTCCCAAATTGATTTTTCACCATTTTACAAAAGTTAATGAGAGATTTACTTGCTTCATGTTTATGTTTAAAAAGATATACCAACACAGTTCTACTGGTAATGGCGGGAAACGTTTCCCTCCAACATTTGTGATTTACGGAATGTGAAATTACCCACACATATTAAAAAAATTCCTTATGTGTAGGTAATGTGCCTATACATACACACACACCCATATATATATATATATATATATATATATATATATATATATATATATATATATATAATATATATATATATATATATATATATATATAGATTAAATCGATGTGTAGGTGATTCATTTGATATTACCAACACATACTTTTATTTCACACATATGCAAATAAATAAATTAACTAATAATAACATATAATATTTAAATAAATGACGTGGCAAAGTAAATATCAACACATAACATCAATATATTTATGTGTAAGTAAATTTATTAGATAATTGTTATTATTATTATTTCATAAATAACATGGTAAATCGAATAGATACACATATTTTATGTGTAGGTAAATATATTAGACAATTGTTATTATTATTTCATAAATGACGTGGCAAATCAAATAAATACACATATTTTATGTGTACGATAAATATATTACACAATTGTTATTATTATTATTATTTCATAAATAACTAGCAAATAAAATGTCTTCACATATTTTATGTGAACGTAAATATATTAGGCAAATCAAATACCTACATATATTTTCTATATGTGTTGTTATTTCTTAATATTTTTTATGTTTTTTGAATTGTTTAGCAAGAATTTTTTATGTTTTTTGAGGGAAATTTCCCTCCAAAATTGTTGATTGATATAGCCACACATATTGTAAAAAAAAAACAAAAAACTAAAGTGTATATATATATATATATATATATATATATATATATATATATATATTGGGAAGAGTTATATGGAAAATGAATGACTAGGGCAACACATATTTGAACCAATGAAAACATAACAACACATCACTTCCACAATAACTTCCACAATACATTACTTGTGAAGAAAGAAATGGACATGTGTCATTTGATTATTGGTTCCGGTAGATGTTGCCCTAGTTATTTGTTTTCCATAGAACTCATTCCTATATATATATATATATATATATATATATATATATATATATATATATATATATATATATATCTTTTTTTAAATAACTTAATTTGAAACTAAAAATTATAAATCAAGTAACTGAAAATCAAAAATATAAATGGATATGTGAAAACATATGACCAAAGCTTAACTACAAAATACCATTTGGATAAGTTGTTATAAAAGAAACAAAAATATAAAAAATCAAAACGTAAAAAGAAATTAATTAATGAAAAATTTCATGTGGTAAAAAAATAAAAGTAAAACAAAATAGAAAAAAATAATGTTGAAATAAAACAAAAATGCATACTTTGATCAAATCAATCACGTATCTTTAGAACAATCGGAAGCTTTGAACTCGGGATCATATCCGAAAATCACGAATCATGGGTTTTATAGTTTTCTACGTATGTTGTTATGTTGACATTCTTCCACAAACGATCGATAAAACCCTAATACGCAGGGGAAGCATCGACAGAACAAGGTGCGGAAAAGGCTTCAGGTAAGGTACAGAAATTGATTGTTGGATCTTGTATTGATGTAATCAAATACTCCATCAAACTAATTAATTACTTCTTGTTTCATATCATGCATCAACGTCCTCGTATTTCTTCTCCATTCATCATCAATTCTGATCTATAGTCTAGTTTATCTGTTCAGGCACTTTCTTGTTTCCCATTTTTTTTTCATATGAATTTGTTTACTGCAAATAAGTCTTTGATTTTGTTGTTTCTTTCACTACTATAAAATCTAAATATAATACAGTCAAATAATTGTATTGTATAACAAGGATAAAATATTGCTCACTTTTTTCTGACCGTATTAAAAAAATAGACCGTATTAATACATATACCTTCAATACATGATGCAAAATCAACAATGAATCAATTGAGTCAATATAAAAATATCAACAGAATAATCACAGACAATCACTTTAAGAAGGCTTTGTTCCTCATGTATTGAGCCTTTAAATACAAAGCTTTTTAGAATATCACTTTTAGGTGGCTCTTATCTTAGTTCAACGATATACTAAACAATTCAAGAATGAGATGACATAAGAATCAAGCACATGTATATAGCCAAGCTATTGTATTAAGAAAATAGCACATGTAATATAGCATAAGAAAGCCAAGAAACATTTTAAAACTAATTAACCCAATATCATGGTGTTAACTCCTAATTTATAAGATTATTTGATAAGATTAATAATTTCAAGTTTTCTAATGAGAAGTAATGTAGCCCTTTAAATATGTAGTTTTAGCTCTTTGTCATAAAAAAAAGAATAGAGAATGATCAACCAAACTTCACCTAAAGTTGCTCAAAAAAAAAATACCTCATTGTTCATTGTTTATTGGGGAGCCTGCATAAAAATAGCATAAGTAAGAAATACTACATTAAAGAATCTATAGTTTCACCTTATAATCTGCATCGGCAATCTCTTTGGTGTTCAATATCACTCCTGAAACTATAAAGATATGTTAAAAAACTTCATACGCCTTCCTTTTGCAAAATTTTAGCATTTTTTCTATTAGAATAACCTATACTTAACATAACACTTTGCCATAAAAATTACAAATCTTGAAAAACTGTTGTAAACTTCTTCTATTTTAGTTTTAGAAGATTTGTTCATTGTTCATATGAGCCTCTGACATGACAGAGATTCCCACCTATTGTAATAGTTAAAAATATAATGATTCTAATAATAACTTCTTTCCCAACTGTAACAGCCATCTTAACTGCATGACTTACTTCTTAAAATTACTAAAATAACCCTAAGTCTAGATTACATTTCCATCATTCCCCCTTAATCTAGACTTTTACTAGTTTAACGATCATGGGTATTTTTGAAATTTCACTTCTCCCATCATCTTTCTCACTTCTCCTATCATCTTTCTCGCAGTAACTTCCTTCCCAACTGTAACTGCAATCTTAACTTCATGACTTACTTCTCGTCCTGATGGATGTTTGGGATCGAACACCGTATGGGTACATACAAGGGATATGTTCGTAACTTTGCTCATCCTGATGGATCCATTACTCAAGCATATGTTGTCGATGAGGCTGTCACATTTGTATCTCGTTATGTAGATGATATCGAGACAAGATTCAACCATGAATGCAATTGGGATATATCAACTACTCAACATGGGTTGGAGGTATTCATCAATAAAGTTCGTACATTGGGTGCTTCAAAATTCGGACAACTAGGGGAGTATGTTGATGTGGTGTAATGGTACATCATTAATAATTGTGGAAATGAACTTGATGTTTACATAGAGTAAGTTACCTATATTTTAGCCATACTTTTATTTTGTATTTACTAATTAATGCAAAAATATCAACTAACTTGTTATTAAATTTAGGGAGCACAAAGAATCTTTATACTCGAGAAATATACAACAAGCAAATATAGATACCATACAAAAAAAATGAATTTCCCTCTTGGTTCAAGAAAAAGGTAGAACTACAAATTTATTACTTTTAGTAATTGATTTTAAGTACATTTATAACTAAAATAAGGAGTTTATAGATGGCTTTCCTTAGGGCTAATGGTGATCCTAAAGCAACCGATGATTTGTACGCCTTGTCACAATTTCTTGATGATCGCTACACAGGTTGGCAAAGTTGTATCATGAATAGTGTTAGATTTCGTCGCAAGGAGTGTGATGACAAGTTTAAAACACAATGTAGTGGAGTGTGTGTAGGGGATGAGAATGATGAATTGATTTATTATGGTGTTTTACTTGAAGTTTTAGAGTTGGATTTCATACTTGGGAGAAAGGTATTTGTGTTTCGTTGCAAGTGGTATCATATCGATCCAAAGGGAAAAAAGATGGTTGTTGATCACAATTTGACATCAATTGAAATTACATCTAAGTGGTATGTAGAAGAACCATTTATTTTGGCCAGTCAAGCTCAACTAGTTTTCTATTTGAATAATTTAGCATGTGGGAAGAACTAGATGCTGGTCCAAAGAGTAAACAATCGTAATATTTATGATATACCAGAGCATGTTGAAGATGAAGTATTGATGAATGATATATTTCAAGAAGAGGAATCTAGTGAACTACCACCTTTTCAACCATCCGAAGAGTTACCTAACACCTCTTTCATAGTTCGAAATCATGTAGAACCTGAAACATTACCACTTGAGGCGGTGCTAGCAGTACGTACTATAAATGTCGTTGCCGATAACTTAGATGATGTTGATGATGAATTTGATGATGATGGTAGAATTTTTTTTAAATAACAAAGCTATTCTTGATTCGGAGACTGACAATGATTCTGATAATCCAAATCCTAATAGTGAGGACAACGATTGTTTTGCATGATTTAATTGATACATATAGGTTAGTTTTTAGTAACAAGCTTTTTCTGTTAAATTTAGTATTATTGTGTTGAGTTATAAATGTGTTTTTTATAGTTGCAAAAACCTTTTTTTGTTAAATTTAGTGTTATCATGTTGAGTTATAAATGTGTTTTTTATAGCTACAGAAAGCTTTTTTCTGTTAAATTTAGTATTATCGTGCTGAGTTATAAATGTGTTTTTTATAGTTGCAAAAAGCATAATATCAAAAAGAGGTGAACGTGGTAAACGAGGTGGACTAGCAAGAGAAGATGGACGACGTAACACTCCCTACAATACATCAGTTCTGGGTAAGATTTTGTTATAATTTCATAAATCAATATTTTTGATTAAAAAAAATGTACATTTTTATTTTTGAAAAAAATAGGGACCATTTCTGCAGTTTTTTTTATACAAGGATCATTAATGCAGATTTTTTAGACAAGGATCATTTATGAAAAAAAAAATTAACATGACAATTAATGCAATTTTTGTAAACAAGGACTATTGATGTAATATTTTTAAAAATAGAGACCATTAATGCAGTTTTTTAAGACATTAAAACCATTTACGTGGTTTTTTTTTTAAACAGGGACCTTTATGTGGTTTTTTTAAAACATGGGTCATTTATGTAGTTTTTCTTTTAACAGGGACCATTTATACGATTTTTTAAACAGGGACCATTTATGCACTTTTATTAAATAGGGACCATTTATGCAGTATTTTGAAAAAGTGGGACCATTATTTCAGATTTTAAACAAAGTCCATTTGTGCAGTAAATTTGAAACAGGTACTATTCATGCATTTTTGTAAACCATGACCATATATGCAGTTATTCTTAAATAGGGACCTTCTATGCAAACCCCTTAACCAATAATTCTTTTCTTTTTTTTATTAATTACTTTGATTACCACTATCACCAGATACAAACCCCTTAATATCAAACAATCGGCAAGATCTAATCTCTCCAATCTCGGGTACAAGTAAGAACTTTTTTTTTCTTTTCTCTTAATCTTAAGATACTTACCCTGATGTCATTGGTGTTGATCCTTACTACATTTTCAATTTTTTTAAACAAGCCCATCTACAACAAACGTAGTTACTAATGTTGAACAATATTAAAGAGAGCAACAATCGGGTTAGTATGTATAAATTACTCGTTAATATATTGCAGTATGTGATATTGTTAATGTAAATCTACTTGTACTTGCTTATAGACACAGTTTTTGAGACCGAGCAAGAAAGTGATAGTAATGCTACAATTGCAAAGCGTGGCATCACTTGTGGCAAAGGTGCTCGGAAGGCAATGAAAGCGTCTAAGAAGATATTGCCCATAAAATTTAATTTTGTAGCAAGACGAGTAATATGTAACAATGAATCAGCTTTCACATATGAGTGTGGCTATATTTTACATAAGAATTGTAGCTTACAACACAAAGAGTGGAGGCTTGTATCGAAGGAAGAGAAGTTTCCATTACGCCACAAGCTAACTGTAAGTTTTTTTAGTATGACTTTAACATCATCATTACTAACTAGTTAATTGTGTTTGTTATTTGAAGACGAATTTTGATATTGATGTGGAAAATGAAAATGTTTGCAAAGTTATCGATAGCTATATGGCAAGGTCATGGAGAAATTTTCGAGTTGATTTGCATAAATACTTTAAAGAGATTGGAGGACCAGAAGACCCAATAAAGGCAAAGACTAAACCCCCTTCAAATATTCGTAGCAAAGAAGATTGGGAGTATCTATGTGACATGTGGTGTGAGCTAAAATACATGGTAATGTTGTAAAAATATTTGAGCTATTGAATTAATTAATTGAATTTAGTATAATATTTGTTAGTATTATTTGGTTGTATCTCCTTGAAGGAGATTGCAAAAAAGAAGGTTGTTGCTCACGGAAAGCGAAAAATGGAGACAAGAAATGGATCGAAGAGTACAATACGCTATCTTGTTGAGCTTGGACATGATGTGGATTCTTCATCGGGTCATATTGAGACTTGGCAGTTTACACATTGGGATGAAGAAAAAGATTGGAAATCTATAGATATGGCTGCAAAATATGTAAGTGTAGTTGCTCATTTCTACCGTTTAATATAAATTATTTGGTAAATAATTTATTTAATGTACTCGTCTTATTTTTATATGCTAATAGGAAGAAATGAAAAATATGAGAAACGAGCATTCCTTGGAATCAATGAGTGACAAGTTGATTCTAGAGAAGGTACTTGGACGAAGCTTTGTTCGTTTGTTCGGTGGGGACGTGATCATGTTGTCGTTGGTAACATCGCAGGTTCTACTGAGAAATCTAAGCATCCTAGTTACAATGAATTGGTGGATGAATTGGAAACAATGAAAAGAGAACATGAAGCTATGAAGCAAATATTGATTGAGAAAGACATCATGCCTCCTCCTCTTAGCACATCATCAAGACGATCACATGGTGATACATCCGAGTGTGGTACATCTAACTACACTCATTCGGGACAGTCTCATGATGAAAATACCGATATATATATGATGATACTGATATATATGATGATACGCAATGAACATTCTAGAATTTTTAGTATTTTCAAGTAGCTACTCATGACTAGTCGATCTTTTGGTAGTTTAAGTATTTCAAGTTTTGAGACTTGTAATTTTTTTGCTTTGAAATATTATGTTAGACAATTTTCAATTTATAATGCTATTTCGAATGCATATGTTTCTATTTATACAAATGTCTGTATTTACCTACACATATCGTTTTTAATACCCACATATAAATATATTTTTACCAACACATATCAAAACCAATGCCTACACATAAAAATACTCTTACCCACACATATTTTAATGACATGTGTAGTCCACATCATTGACCACGCCATCAACCACATCATCAGCCACGTCAGTGTCCACATCGCCAGCCACATCATCGACATCCCAAACAAATCAGAATGCATCTACCTACACATATTTACTACTATTAGCCACATATATATGTGTAGGTATAGATAATCTTATATCTACACATAAATTATGTGTCGGCAATGATCTGTGGATGATCTGTATCCACAGGCATGAGCCTACACATAGCTACATTTAATGTGTGTGTAGGTAATAATGAATACCATCACATATGATGCTCTTACCCACACCTAATATATGTACTTAAAGACCCAAATTTCTTGTAGTGGTATTCCTCTTCTTTGCCACAAAATCCATTCTATATAGTCCTACTTTGCACTTACCTACACCAATAAAGCTCCTTGTTTCTAAGCCCTCTGCGATACAAAAGTCCGAAAATAAAGTCACATCATAATTAAGTTCTTTTGTTAGGTGACTAACGGATAACAAACTACACATAAAAAGTGGAATTCATAAAACCCAATCAACTTTCATTCCATTAGTTAAGGCACAATTTCCTTTTCCTTCAATAGGAATGGAATTACCCTTAGGAATAGTGATATGTCACGATCGCAAGTCATGTGCTATGTTGCTCCTATATCGATAATCCATAATTAGTTTTTAAAGTTCTTACCAGCCATGTTAACACTTGAACCAATATCATCTTTTACTTTATTATTTGCCAAACCCGAGAAGTGTTTGACGAGCATTTGGTATTATTCACTTGTCAAGCCTGGTATAGAATTTAAACGTGCATCAGCCTACACAGACTTGGGTTTTTTCTTTCTCTTTCTTTTCATTCACGGTCCACCAATCTAGATAACCGATCCTTTTGAAGCATTCCTCTTTATTGTGACCACTTTTGCCACAGAAGGTGCACTATCCCAACTCTTGGTTGTTGACTATCTTTGTTTCCTCGGCGGGTCCTTTATTATTTGTTATTTCTTGCTTGTTAGAAGTGAAGCTTTGTAAGGCAGCAACATCGTATACTTTTTTTCTTATGCTTGAGATCACTCTTTGGTGTTCGTCTTTTATGACTAGGTGATAGGCAGTCCCCAACGGGACTCGACGAGTCGAGTCGGGTTGCCCATAAGGGAAGAACTCGTCGAGCCCATAAGGGGACTCGACGAGTCGAGTCGGGTTGCCCCGCGATTCGCAACTTGTGATAACCCATTGAGTGTAGGTTTGACTCAGCGAGTCGAGTGAGGACCAAGGGCGAAGAGAACATGCATGGAATCACCAAGTAACACGAGTGCACTCGACGAGTCTGGTCAAAGTTTGACCGTTGACTTTTGTTGACTTTTAGGGTTTGGTCAGCAATTGGACTTGTAGACCATTTGAAGGTTAAAATGGTCTTTTAGCCTTCTTAGAGGATATGGAAGAGACTAGTCTAGCTTGGAGAGTGGTTACTGATTTTAGATAATTGTTTATGTGTTTAGGCGGAGGCTAGATCAGTGTATACGTGTGCGAGATTATCCAAGATATCTGAGGTGAGTCTTCTCACTATACATTACCTAGAGTGGTATCTAAGTATGACTGGAGGGTCTTGTGTGCTATGTGTATGTTTGAGATTATGTGCTTTGATATATGTATGCTATGAATTGTGTAGACCAAACCGGAGGGTCCAACGATATAGATCGGACCGAAGGGTCCAACGAGCTATAACCGGACCAGAGGATCCGACTAGACCAGCTACAGGACTGGAGGGTCCCGCTGAGACACACGGACCGGAGGGTCGTACTGTGGCCTTGAGTGGCGTATGTGTTGTATGTGGTATTTAGGGGAACTCACTACGCATTTATGCTTACAGTTGTTATGTTATGTGTTTCAGGTCCTAGTGATGATCGCGGGAAGGTGCCGACATGATCCGTACACACTCGTGGAGTTTATGTTTTGAGATTCTGAAATATGTTTTGTGATGATAACATTTGATACATTATGTTTTGAAATTATTTGATGAGTAAATGTATGTTTTAAAAATGAAAAATTGTTTTGAAAATTTACGTTGCTACACTTAAATTAGAAGCTTCTAATTATTATGAAAGTATGAATCAGTCTTATACTTTTTCTATTAATAATTAGTCAATCTGATATTTTTTCTAGTAATCAATCCGGTAAAGGGTTAATTGGTCCAAGTGTTAAACTTGATTTCTCTATTGTAAATTTTTGTTTTTTCTTGTTAATGTTCCCTTCATTGCAATTTCTTATATGTAGTTCAAAAATGAAGTATTATTTTTTGCTTGAGTGATCATCCATATGTGAGGATAAGAGTTCATTGTTTTAATGTTGTTATTAATTGGTATGAATTAGGGTAGCTTGTACAAGATAACTCTCTTTGTCACTTTCGTTTATGGCCTACAAAGTTCTTTTTTTTTTTTTTTTTTTGATGAACTATGTATATCAATAAGAAAAAATAAAGTTGAAACATGAAAAATTAGTAAGAATTATATAAAACTGTAGATGAATGAAAGTTTTTAAATATTTTTGATTTCAATGAACCTCATACATTGTGAGGTAAAATAAATATTATTTACTTGATAAATACAATTATTTACATTAAACATCATTGTTTGCTTACAGAAACTAAACGAAATATATGTGATTATATAAATTTTAAAACCGGGAATCGGATCTTTAAAGGGGTGAAGAAAGTCACAAAGACAAGACTCATGATTAATATGCAAAAACACAATAATGTTATTGTAACATTTTATACACCACCAACAATGATGATGTATTAAATTTGTTTCAATTTCAATGAAAATACACACACAATTCATCAAGAAAACAAATATAATTCACAGTAGAATCGTGATGAACTGATTTTTTCTTGGAAATATGTATTCCATTATTGTATAGTGGGTCCATTCATATAAGAGATTTGTTTCAATATGTTGGTCAAATGCTTGGCTCAAACACCTAATGTGAATCAATATGTCCAGTTTGAAGCTTTCCTAACCAAGATCCACTAATAATGATATGGATTTGTTCAATTACTAATCGTTTTTTATTTTGGCTGATGATGAACCCTGGGAGTGTTATTGCAACTTATTAAGAGATATCCAAGAAGCATACAAACCAGATTTGGATATGATGTTTTATTGAATGGATAAGAAGGGTGCCAATTTTTCGTTATTGCATCTCTTGTTTGGTTGCATGCAATAATATCTTGAAAATCGCATAAAAATACTTGCTACTAAGAAGTCAGCAAGATTGAAAAAAAAACATATTAAATTTATTTTGGTTTAGAGTGAACCACATTAAAGACACATTGTTAAAACTGTTCAAATTTTCAAAAACATAAAGACCAATCCACTTATTTCCAGATTTGACCTTTAACCCCAGCACACACAATACAAGACCCTTTTCACAAGCAGATTAACCAAAGGGGTATATATGTCAATATAGTGATGCTGCTACCTTACTGTTATACCCTCTTGACCTTCCAGAAAACAAATTGGATCCTACCATTTGCCATTCCAACCTTCATTGGTGTTGGTGAAGGTCTCCCTCTTCCAAATCCAATCGTCATATATATATATATATATATATATATATATATATATATATATATATATATATATAACCACTAAATCTACATCCCAAACGTGACTTGAACTCTCACCTTGGGCACTTTACCAACTACTCTTATACTGCTAGACATTAAATTCTTTGATTTTGTATAATACAGACCAACTCACAGTATTGTACTATATTAGTTTTGCACTTTTTCTTGTACCGAATAAGTTATTCGTACAACAAAATGTTTATTGTAATTAAAAACATAGCTTACAAATTTTCACCTATATATCAATCGATTTTTTTTTATAAAGAAACTTATTCTAGATTATAAATTCAAGGAAATATATGTTTATGAGTAAAATTAAAACGAACATGATGGCACTACGTTGTAAGTTAATTAATTTTAGTATGTAAAGTGTGTTGCTATTTTGCATAAGACGACGGATACACACCGCCTAAAACCTATGAAAACTAAAAATGATGTTATTCCATCACCTAAAATTAGAATCGACGTAAAAATCGTTCAAGGTATCTCAAAAGCATACGTGGTTTATAATTATTTATCTAGGTTTAAAAAATATTGGGGTTTTATGCTTTAGAAAATAGGGTAAACTGCAAAAAACAGCAACTGTTTACTCTCGTTATTAAAATGGCAATATACTTTATATTTTACCTATAACAACAATGTACTTATGCTTTTTACCTATAATAGTTTTTTCCATTATTATTTACCATATGCAATCAACCTATAACACAAGTTCCGGCCTCAGGGTATCCACAAAGAATATAGATTTTTTTAATATGTACTTATAATTATGTGTTATCAAGTATATTTTCCTTAGCCAAAGTCCAAAGATTGATTCCATTTAAGTGTGTATTTTGCCTGTCTTTTGGTAACAGTTAGTTTTATGTTGTCCTGGACCAAAAAGAAATAGAAAATGCGTGACACACAAATCAGCATTACAACATCTTGTAACAATTGCAATTAGGAAGGCATGATTTTATTTTCATCTTCACAAAATACAGAGTTTAAGATTCATAAAATCTATAAATGAAATATCCTCTACTCTGTATCTATACATGTAATTCCCTACCCTTCCATATATATAAAAATACCCATAATGTATACAGCGGCCGTATATGTTGTTTTTTTCTCATTTATTTTATGTTGGACGAAAGAAAGGAAGGAAGTGTCAACTTTTTTGGGTACGAGGACGGAGAGGAGATACACGTGTTTTTATTGGTTTAAGCTTCACTCCCATATTTTCAGGGTAAAGAAGCTCGGGAGCAATGCAGCGCGGACCAATAGGGCTCCTCGGGATGCCCATGAACCGGTATGGTTTGTACCATTTATATCCCATCAGAAAAGAGTCCAGCGGGATCAGCATTGCATGAGGCTGTTCTTCATTCACCATTGATCCACAAGCATGTACCTTCATCACAATTTACGGGTCTAATTTGTTACACACAAAAGGGCAGCACACATAATATAGGTTGTACTGAGTTTGGTGTACATTGGACTAAGTCACAGTGATGTACTTTTAAACAACTTGCATTTCCCAAAAAGGTTGAATAAGGAGGAAGAGGATTCGTCATAGGTATCTCGTCTATGCAAAAGAAATAAATGCCCTTGTCCTCCTCTTATGAAAGATCAATTCTCTTACATAGAGGAATCCATTGTTCCTTCGCGAAATGGATGGAAATGATCGGTTCCAACCAAAATCATTCGGTATGAATTCATATTTTACCAAATTACCACCCTTTTATCATCCCCCATCAACCAGTCACACAGCCAACATGGGAAGGTAAATCACAATGTGTTCACCTTGAACCTCGAGGCTTAATTTATGAACTTTCGTCTATCTTTTTTATTATCCATAAATAATTATTTGCATAATTATGAATATTTACATTTATTTTTGAAAGAATCGTACCTCAACAAAAGAAGAACATGTTTTACCCAAGTTTGCATTCATGTGAAGAGCTTCATTATGGAACGGAGAGCTGTCGCCAACAAAGATGATCGTTCGGCATTCAAGACTCTTTAAATTTTCGGTGATGTCTCGTCTCCTACCAAATTTAAATAAAGTTAGCATCTTAAAAATTGAAGAACAAATACTTTTGTAAAGTGTGATAAAGATTAGTGACTCATTATGTATCTACTACCTGCTGATTGCTTGAAGAAACCGCCATACGTTAATGCTATCTCTCTCATTCAATGACTGTAGGGAAAAAAATTATATGGAGTCCGGTTAGTGTATTAAATATGATTATAGAACCATATTATAAAGATAAAACAATTTAGGATGTTTCAAATCCACTTGTGTTTAGGTAAATGGGTCGAAAATGAAGAATCTAATTTATATGATCACACAAAGAATAAAGATATGATTGTCCGTCTAATTGAAGTGGTGAAGATGGGAACCGCAAAATCGGTAGAACAAATAGCACAATGTCTACTTTCTTCGTCCCATGAGAATTGAAGCATTTCAAAAAAAAAATTGTAAATTACCCATTCAACCATAAGCTTATTTACTACTTTATCAATGATACTTATCGGAGGCAGCTAAGGTATTTTACTACTATATAAACGAGTAATTACAAGAAGTAGCAACATACTTTTATTTATTTGTTTATTATAGCATCTTACTTTCATTTCTTTCTGTTCTACGTTGTACTTTCAAGAATGATTTCCCAATTATAGCCATGTCATCCAAATACAAAGCAGTTGTCACTGCTACAGTTTAGTATATTAGAAAAATACAATGCTGTGATTCGATAGATTTTTCAATGTAAAATGTTGTAATAAGAAACAAAAATGAAGTGCAATGCTATAATAAAATGAAATGAAAATAAGATGTTATAATAAAAAAAATAACTGAAAGTGGTTTGCTATTTCTTTGCATTTATACAAAGTCAAACAATGCAATTCTCGCAGGATTCTCATTTTTACTCAAAAAATCGAAGATTTTATATCAATCGTGAAGTTGAGAGTGGTGTTTTTTACCTGAATCTTCAAATTTACCAAAGAAGAACCATAATTAACCTTTAGAATCAAAGCAACGTCAGAAAACTAACCTTTCTGCATGATCGAACTATATCTGATTCTGGGACTTCTAGATTAATATTACCGCAAACTTCCTGATTTTATTCAAAAAGTATCTCGTGATCGAGATCATATAAGATAAAGAAAGATATTTGAGCAAAAATATCGTAAGGAAAGAAGTCTGAGTATACCTTACTGAAGTATCTGTGAATCAATAACTCCTTCAACAAATCACTTATACCGTGATAATAGAGCAAATTTGACATGAACTACAAATAAAAGAATTTTTAAACATAGTTGTTGATTGATGAAACATGGTCCATCAGTCTATACTTACAACCATGGTCAGAAGTCATTATGGGTTGTAAAAAAAACTAACCTTATTGTAAAACCATTCATTCCAAGAGGGTGCTCGGCATATAGGGGATATAAGTATCAAACCGGTAACTCTTTCACTAAACTTTATCTGCAAAAAAAAATAATAAAAAAATAAATAAAATCCTCAGACATGGAAAACAAATTAAAAATCAGTTTTGTAAGTATCAATAACTTAACAAGAAATCATACCGCAAATTGTGTAAGTATGTATGCACCCGCCATTGCTCCCATACACATCACTGAACCGAGCCTGGGAAACTCAAAATGCTTAACATCATGAAAGTTTATTAGTTACATAGATATACGGGAAAACTGCAAAAGAATCCTTACATATTGGCTTCATAATTGATTTAGTCCTTATATCTTTTTTTTTATTCAATAAAATCCCAAAAACCGGTAATCGTATTCAATTTAACTTTTTTACCGGGTCAACAGGTCATCTAATTTTTAAAAATTACACTTTTTGCCCAGATTTCAAATTCTATTACAAATTTGATTCAAAATTTTATACTTTTGGCCTAGATTTTA